GTCATCAAAATATATAGTTTCCACCATTACATGTTGCACGGAACCAAGGTGGTGGAAATGTGTTTCTGATCAGCCTGCACTCGCTGGTTGCTTTTCCCCATTTCGCGTGGAAATGGTTGTGGCATTTTTCGCTGGAAACCCCTGTACTGAACACCTTTTTGCGGGTTCCACACATGCTTTTATGTACCGCGGCTTTGTTATTTACCCGCCTCTGAGCGCTTGAACCTCTGACGCCTATTCCTATCCGGGACCCTAGTTTGTTTGATCCGGCTTGAAGTCTGCCCTCTGAGGCATTGGCTGTCTTAATGGCTCTCTCTCGCAGATACTGAGATTGGGCGTTGCACCCAGAAGCACACGAGGGTGCAGCGTGTATTGATGGGTCTTGCGTTACACCATGACGCACGTGCGGCGTTTGCAAACTACCCTAAGTGTCGCTGACGTGATTTTTAGCAGGTGAACGAAGCAAAATGTCTCGTAACTTTGTTATGCTGCCGCTTTTAGGGATGGTTGCAAAGTCGTTTGAGAGTCATCAACTTCCTCTAGCGAATGAACCCAAATTTATTTCAAAAAATCGGGATGTATGTGGGTTCACAAGCAGAACTGGACGAAGAGTGTGCCGCAATTGTGAATGGAAGTAACAGTATGATCCACACTAGTTAACCCAAGGAGATGGAAAGCACTGTGTAGAGCTCGACAATCTGATTCGAACGAGTACATACGCAAGAATGTATGTGGAGAACTGGCATGCCCACCGCAAGTGAAGCGATAGACGAGATAAAGTGCGGCCTTACGGCGGTCAGCCAGCGATACCCTGAACCATTCCAAACCACATCGTTGCAAGTAAAAGTTTAACTCAGGCTGACAACTGTTTCGACTATTCCCATCTGTTCTAAGTGAGGACCTACGCTTTACACTCAGTCCACTACTTATTGTGTTACCACTTAATTTCACTTTGGATTGTCAGCGGCATGCATGTCTTACTGAATGCCGTCGGCTAGCCGCCCATGGCTTCTTGATGTCTCGAGGTCAAGCATGCATTGTGCTTGCGGAGGCTGACCACCATTCGGTTTATGGATGTGGCTCCGTGATTTACTCACAAGTGTAGGGCATCTACCTTGATGCCATTCTAAAACATCAGTCAGGAAATTGTGTCATCTACCTCAAGAAATGGGGTATTCTAAGCTACATGTCTTGTTTCCTATGTTATCTCCACATTGAGGGCGACCTCAACGGATACACCAACAATTACTCGTTTGTGTATCATCTCCCTATTCAAATCTATCCAACTATATTTGGGTTTATTTATTAGAGTTATCGGTCGAGAAAAACACTTTCTTATATAGTGTGTATATATTTAACAGCTTTTCTGGGCCTGCTGCTCCTTTGTTAATTGTGGCTCTAGAGAATAGTAAACCAAAATGTGAGTGAAATGTTTTGCTGACGAGTGGCAAAAGACAGCTGAAGTAGGAACACGAAAGGATGAACTCACGTTAAACGGCCGTTTTATCTTCCTGTACAACTGCGAAATAAATGCGAGAATAGCAAGATAGAACCTATGTCACTTTTACGGTTTCATTAGTTGGTTAATGTAAATATCGTCTAAATAGCGATGTGCTCATAAATGCGAGTTGCTACAAAAATGAATTAACTACGAGATTTCAACTGCTTTGAAACGTGGCTGTTCTCCTTCGGACTGAAAAAGAACACACTGCTACGGCCATTCGTCGGCAAAATACGGTACATGCGGGAATTTCGCTCCACTTAAATAATCCGTTCTTGTAAATACAACTGTACACTAGCCTATACGTCAATAAGGTTACCAATGAGGACCTCCACGAGGGCGATATTCACTAGCTATAACTTACGTTTGCGCAAAGGGATATCAATACATTCACGTCATACTTATTATTGTAGCATATATTAAGCAGTTATAACCACTGTATGTGCTATGCAGCTTGTTTTAGTGTAGCTCAAGGAATATATTGCAAATTGTAGAGCTGAACCTATAAGAGAAAATTCCTATTCTTACAGTGTAACACGAGAAATCCTCGAAGCATTTTGTTGATCTAGTTTAAAAGGTCCAACTGAAACAATTGCTAGTTATTCAATTCAGACAGTGCCTGTTCGAGCTGAACTCGGGCTTATACCTCCTCAGAGCGCAGTAAGCGCGCTGTGGATACAAATGCACTAGCTGAACAAACGCACAGCCGGTGATGGGATCCTTTCAGGACAAAGACACTTACCGAGTGGTGAGGATGAATGTAGATCTGAAAGTTTCAAATGGAAAATTAATTGATTGAAGTCACCTCATTTTCGGTGATGTTTAATTATAATGACGATGGTTGGCCAACACACTCTGTAGCGGTAATCAAAAACAGAAGCTGCGTACATTAAAGTCTTGGACATGCTAAAAGAGCTGCATGTTGATCCACTTAACTGAAGCAACGTGACCGAAATGTAATCACTTTTATAGCGAATACCAAACTATCAGCTGATCCAGTAGCTCTCGACTGTTCCTCCCCAACAAGCTGCGACGGTATTGGGAAGTTGCTTGTGGATGACTTCAACTAGAGTAATTTAACGTTGAAGGCACGTGATTATCCCGATGATCAACTAAATTGTACAACAAGGAAAATCACCGTTAGTCGAGCCGATGTCATTTACGAGGTAATGAATCGGATTCGAAGTCTGTTTTAGCCACGTAACTTAGTTACGACCAACGTCTTGCATGCTCGTAAAGCAGAGTACGCACAATATGATTCTTAACATGTGGATTGACGCTTTCAACATCACAAGGTCTACAGGGAATTCAGTGGCACCAAAGACTCCGCCAAAGATTCTTCAACCAGTGCGCCATGCAGATCGCATTCGGAAAGCCCCCATACGCCTGCAGATAAACCCTCGGAAACACCTCTGTGTTTGCCGTCTTCATTGAGGGACGTTTTAGCTTTAGACGCAACATAACCAGAGTAAACTCCTAGGTTTGGAGAACCGTCACCAGTTGGCACCACGGAACTGTGTACGAAATATTTGCTGTGCCACAAAAAACGGATAAACATCATGTTACGAGTTGAGTGTGTAACTGACTACAGGTGGGTATGGAGAGAATTAGTCTATTTTCATCAAAACCCACGAATCTTGTGTTCCTTTCGTAGAACAACAAGTTTCTTGTCGCCTATTATAAATTCATGCACGCTTCAAATGTCACATTTAGTAGTTTTGTGCTATTGGCATTCACCTTTCCGGTTTTGTGTTCACTTCGCCAATACACGCTACGTGACCAGTATCGCCTGTTCTGACAACACAACGGCACACCAGTAAGGAGTCTGGGGAAACCCATCTTCATTGATCCACCTCTTACGACCACAAGTTTGAATGAAAATTTTATTGCCATTCTTCTTATTTCATGCCCTCACGACTGGCGAGGAGGATATCGCTGTGGGTCACGCACATGCATCCTAGTTGGTAGGGTTGTTTCAGTGTCGCACTACTCGACATATCCGACATGACAAAACCGACGCGGTTTTGGGGATTCTTCAGAACAGGATCCGAGGAAAGAGGAGACGACTTGTAAGACATTAACTGAGGTTATCAGTGGACCCAAACTCAGCCCCAGTAAATAAACCAGTTGCAAGTGCGTAATCTGATCGAACTACTTATCAGATTTTACGGAGCGTTTCGTAGCCCACTGATTCAAGTAAACGACCGAAGACCGGCTTACTGCCAATCAAGAATCCCAGAATTCGATGCTGTATCCAGTGCAATGTATAAAACCCCCATGAACCGAGTAGTTGCCGGAGCATATCTGTTTACGTATTTTCAAAAATGCCGTTCCGATACCGTAACCATCAGCAGTGACATACAAGCTGAGTTAAAATAACAAACCTACAATTTGTCCTCTAAAGGACATGTAATTGTGCATGTGGGCAACTTCAGTGTAGGTTGTTTTGTCTACTGACATGACGTCACGGTCAGATTAGATTTGTGAGTCCATGGAGGAAGAATATAGGAAGGCCGCCCGGAAAGAAGCAATGAACTAATTGCATAAGACGCATTTTCTTTTTCTTCTCCCGGTCACCCCAGTCAAGTCTGTATTTATGACCCTGGGGAAGTGTGCTGACGGCCGAACCTACACCCTTGACGGCAAATCGCTATATCCCACACCCTCCGTGAAGAACCTAGGTGTACTCTCGCGCTACGATCTGAAGTCCGTGGACAATACGAATTTACTCATTGCACGCAGTAGTTGGACCGAGGCAGCCGACGCTGGAGAAGGTGTTGATGTGATCTACCTGGATTTTTCCAAGGCTTTCGATCGTCTAGACCATCGGATACTACTATCCAAGCTGCAGTATTACGGGATCGGCGACCCTCTTTTAAGCTGGATCGTTAACTTTCTATTTCAAAGGCAATTAGTGGTCAGAGTTCGGAGCTCTTTATCGGACCCCATACAAGTCGAGTGTGGTGTGCCGCAAGGCTCGGTTCTAGGTCCACGTTTGTTTCTGGTGTTTATTAATGACCTTGCACAGGGAATCGCTTCAAACTTCCTAATGTTCGCCGACGATATCAAGATCTGGCGCAGGATCCAGGAGAACGCCGACCAACATGTGCTCCAAAGTGACTTAGATACAGTGTATCAATGGTCGATGCAAAACTTATTGCATTTCAACGTCAGTAAATGCAAGGTGCTTTCCATCCGACATCAGGGCAGCTACTCATACCGACTGGGAACGGATGTATTGCAACAATCAACTCTCGAACGTGACTTGGGTGTCCTGGTTCAAGATGACTTGGGTTGCTCCAGGCAATCGGAAAAGGCCTCCAAGACCGGGAATCAACACGTTGGGCTGTTGAGGCGGGCGTTTGGACGAATAAACAGCTCCATATTTCGACAAATGCTCAGTGCGTATGTTCGTCCCCATGTCGAATACGCAATTCAAGCCTGGCATCCATGGCTGAAACACGACCTTAATGCACTGGAGCAGCCTCAACGCCGGGCATCTAAGAACGTAACTGGAATACGCAATCTGTCCTACCAGGAGAGGCTGCGACGACTGGGATTGTTCAGTGGAAGCTATCGCAGGCTACGAGGCGACCTGATTATGACATACTTGATTCTGCGAGACCCACATCATGTGTGCCTCCCTTTACTGCAACTCAGCAGCAATACAAACCTGAGGGGCCACTCATTAAAACTCGCAGAACAATACAGTCGTCTGGAGTGTCGCAGAAATTTCTTTTCCATCCGTGTCTGTCACCCGTGGAATGCTCTCCCAGAATCGGTCGTCTCTGCACCGACACTAACAATATTTAAAAGACGGTTGGACGATGCACTCATCCACTTACACTTCGTTACTTAACACTATGTCTCCATCCTACACCTGGAGTTTACCCTGGAATTATTTGTTGTTAACTGTGGGTGTTGTGAATCTAAGGGGATCGCAGGACTGCGGCGAAGCAAACGATAAGTCCTTATTTTCGTATTTAAAGTGTTAACTATTTTACTATCCTTTTCATCATAATTATTATGTTGATTTCCCCACCAACTATCCAACGGGGCTTGTAAAGCAACGCTTCTTAACCCGTATAAATTCATTGTTCATTGTTCAGGTTATATGGTAACAGACTGCGCATGCTTTGGGCGCTTAAACGTAGTTTAGACAAATGATCTGAAGAGGTTGCTACTCGCCTCTTCTCTTCCATCATTAGACCAATGCAAGAGTACGGTTCGCCCACCTACTTTCCGATTACCCGAGGGGAGGCTTAAAAGATCTAACGGGTCCAGCACGTTGCTACTAGATTGAGCCTGAGTTTACGTGGCTTGGGGTAGGAAGGCCGGTGCGAGAAACTAGGACTCTACACCTTGTCCTACCGTCGAATGCGAGTCGACTTCATTATGATCTACCGTATTCTACATCTCGGTGTCTTCTCCATGCTGAGGTCAATGCTGCACTAACGAGGGCCATGCAGCACACGCGAACACAGATACAAACTTGTCGTGCCGGATGTGAAATGTGTTCCCCACCCACTGTGCTTCGAATGGAGAGTGGTAAACATTTGGAACAGTTTACCTGAACATATGATGGAGGCAACATCTGCGCAGCAGTTCAAAACGTTGTTAGATTTATATTTTACGACTATTCGATTCAGAGAACGATTGCACACTTACGATGACATATCACATTTGTGAGTCCTGCAATATCGTGAGTCAGATATTTTAAATGTTACATGCGAACGACAACGATATTCATGGCTGAGAATTTTTAAAACGTTTTTCACCATATTTCGAAAGAGTTGTACAGAATTCATTTCTACTTTCTCTATAATACAGTATACAATATTCAGTATATCCGAGGCGGTAAGTGAAACGCCAGTTGGAGTGAATTTTAACTCCTCATCCATGGCGTACTTCGGAAAGGATTGGAATGATAGGTATTCCTTATAAAGATGGTACTGCGAAGGTCTTAAATAAAAGACATAAGGCTAATCTTTCAGTAAGGCCAAACGTTCCGCTCTACACTAGTGCACTTGAAACACCTATTTCCCGCAGACAGGGCAAACAATTGCGTCTAAAAAAATTAGTTACAAAGACTGCGCACACGTGTACATCGTTCAGACCGCGAGAGAGCTACGCACAAGGACAGCAGAACAAAAAAGACGCATAACACGGCCACTGAGAAACGAGCTTGAATATTGGACTCTACTAAGCAATTCCGTAGTAGCGATGCACGCGATTGATAAAGGACATGAGATCGACTTGGATAACGTCAAAATCGTTAGAAAGGGGTTGAGATTAGTCAAGTGAACTGCTGCCTTAACAGAATGGACGGAGCGGAGGTTGCGAGCGTGTGGCGTGCTGGGTTAACCCGACCAGACTGAGGAGCGCCGGCGGACGGATCCAGGGCAGAGAATGAACATCACATCATCCCCGCACCCATCGTTAACGGGGTTTACGTGTGTGACCTTGTAACGCGGACAACTTGTGGCGGTTCCATGCACTATTTGGAGTGATGCATTGACCTGTAACGCGATTGACCATTCGTCGCGATGAGCATCCCACTTCTCTATAAGTGCTATACCAATTCTCGACTTGTTCACGGCCTGACGAAGCTTTTGTGTCAAAAGCGAAACGTTGCCCACAAACTATACCAACCTTTGGTTTTCAAAACTTTCTGATATCATGAGTTCTCAATCGGTTTCAAGTATTTTCTATTTGTTAAAGCTTAATTATCGTTGGATGCAAATAACAGGTAAAGACAACAAAATAAAGGTCAAATAATCCACCTATTCGCTTGTTGGCTGCACGGATGCTTGAAAATTTAAGCAAAATCATGGCGTTACTTACGGAAAACGGATTGCCACGATATACAGAAACCTAAGCGGGAGAGAAGAAGAGAGTTTTGAGGAATCACATAACTGTTCAATTGTATATGAAAGACAACGCTCACTAAACTTTAAGTCCGAGGGTCAGTTAGTAAACCACACAATTACTGTTGACTTCGATTTCGCAGTGTAGCATGGCAACCAGCTTATAGTCATAGACAAGACCCGTGGTGGAGTCACTGGGTTGTGACAAATCATTATCTTTCTCTCTGTTTTGATGCTGGTCACAAAAATTCTCGGAAATGGGGATTGGTCAATAAATTACCGATTATCAATATGCACCCACACAGCATTCTTTTAAAACTGTGAACGAATGGAGGGCAGAGCAGCGCTTTCCGCGTTGCTGGACGGAGAGTCTAACAACGGTGCTGTTATACCTTGTATGGTCTAATTATCTACTGCTTTGTCTGCACGGAAAAGTAGCAGCAATAAAGCACATAACTAAGGTGTTTATCTCGACATTGCAAGACACACCTGCATATGCATGATAACGGTAATAAAAACTGAAAGAATCGGTAATTGCACAAATTACTATAACCTACCAACTTACAAACTGGATCTACGTGCGTGTAGGTATGTGAGTTTGTGTTTAGGTAACCATGATGACTCAAATTGGTAGCGTTACCTTGTAGTTATGTTTGTGTTTGATCGGATCGCTAGTGCATGATTTCATCACAGGAACTCTTCGAAGTGGACGTCTGACGTCCGTGGAGTAAGCAGGAGGCAGTGACATTCTTGGTGGTGAGTCCCATCCGCCACCTCGCAGTGTTAATAAACAGATACAGCTATTTTAGGGAGAACACTTTCCAAGTGGAAACCCACCACATCCAGGTGTCTAAGAGGTTACCGACCTTGACTAACCTAGTATTCTCCTGAGTGTAAGCTAAACCAGATTTTGTCGTTAAAATTGGCCGTGTTTCTCTATCAACTAAAGTTGAGCACGTGGCAAACATTCCTTTCTGGATATCTAACAACACATGGCGATCAAATATCTAGTGGTTGGTAATGAATGCCCCCATCAGGCAACCCGTCACATTACCGCAATGGGTATGGCAACGAGCGGAGTTACTTATCCAAAGTTGAATTTCTAATAGGGCAGTCATAAAGGTCCAACTGTGGAAGCAACGTACACAGTTTTGTACAACAGGCTGTCGGCTCGCCACTAAACACCAGTCATCGTACTCATTCGTCGATTTCACCATAACGTTGTATAGCATGAAACATGGTGTTCAGCGGTGGGTTTTGTAAAGTTTATTCAGTTAACTGAATCCTTGCATAACAGCATACTCATAAGGTGCAGGAACGTTTTTTATATAGTCTGTGATAAGGAACAAGGCATCATCCTAGCACCAGTTCGTTTTGTCTACATCTAGCTGCCATGTTGCCATGGGCCCTTGATTCGTGTGAGTTCAGGATCTATTTTGAGTACCGGGAGATGGCGGTGCAGCCAAAATACCCGTCACTTCGGAGTCAGAGGCCTAGTATGATGTGTCACAAATCCAATTTCTGTTGTGCTTGTGTACCATTGTTACTCGTCTGCACAAAGTGAAGATAAATTAAAGCCAATTGAGGTATGGTTTATGACAGGTATGAAAGGAAATGCTTGCCATGTGGTAATATAAAACAGTATTGATATAAGAACGCGGGAGAGATACATGACTCACCAAGGGGTTTACATTAGCACATGTGCGAGTATTCCCGCTTGGGTGATAGGAGGTTATAATGCCGTCCACTGTTTGTTCTGCACTAAAGCCATCATCGGATGGCCACGTGCTATATCACCTAAGGTCAATTTGTCAGAGTACCGTCAAGGCGTTTTTTGAAAGAAGATAAAGTAGGGGCTTATTTACATTTGCAGGGCGGACGTTCCAAGTTTGACACTCGGAGGGAGAAGAAGTTCCCTCGACATTCTAGCCGACTGCACCGCCTGGCCAGCCTCTTGAGATGACCCTTTAGCTATGGATTTTGACTGAGTTTCCTAAGAGATTGACATGTTTGGTTGAGGTATTTAGGATATGTACAGCATTATGCTATCTCCACGTAGACGTCTATAACATCCGATGTACAATTTCAGGGTTCAAATCCTGAATGTATAGATAAGATGGGACAAACTGCTGACTTTCTTCATAACCCAGCGTTGTGCAGTATCGAGCCCGGTGAAATGGTGCTTCTGCCAAGGTTGCCATGCTTGGATTGTGTATTCCGCTGGCGGCCTCACGTAAGCACTAAACATTTTCGTAAAGATTGAGGCGTCACACTTCCCGAAGGCTCTACAAATAAGGCCGAAGTCCTGGTTTGCTTTCTTTGATGTATTTACAGTCTGCCTCTAACCACCAAAGTCATCCTGTATGAGTACGCCGAGATCGTACTCAAGAGCGGCCCACTGTATACATTTTGGCCATAGCCGGTAGTTGTGAATAATCTGATGGCATATGCTGTGAATTCACACTTAGTGGTGTTGAACTGCAGTATGTCATCGTTGGGCCAATTTTATGCTTTATCCTGATCGTCTTATAGGGCTGTGTGATCCTTCACTGTAGTAATAGCACGCTATATCTTTAGACCATCAGCAAATGGTAGGCGCTTTGCGGATAGCACCCACGCGAGATCATTTATGAAGACCAGGAACAGGCGTGGTCCATGTACAGAGACCTAAAGTATGTTGCATTTAACCTTGCTTGACTCCGATTGGGTGCTGCGAACCCTCACATTCAGGGGACGTTGAAGGAGAAACTCGCCTATGCAGTCTAGAACGAAAAGAACAATGCCATATTTATAGAGTTTGTACTGTACAATGTGATGGTTCATATTCTCGAATACTTTTGAGCAAGTTAGGTAGGCGGCGTCTGCTCCTACACCAACATCCACAGACTTCGTCAAACATGTGCGAGCTATCAACAGGTTAGTGGTACAGGAGCGATTTTGGTTAAATCCATGCTGCTCCGGAACGAGAATTTTGTTACTTTCCAGGCACCGCATGATTGCCTCAGTTACTATGTACTCCATGATCTTTCAGATTACTGGAACTAGTGTTATCTGGCGATCATTTTCGGGTTCTGCTCAGCTAGCAATTTTGTAGATTGGAATGATGATCCCGTGCTTTCACATAGTAAGGACATGCATCTAGTTACGACACCGCTAAAACAGCCTTGCTAACGGTTCAGCTAAACTCATGGCAGCAAATTAGAACGCATTTCGGCGACTGCCGTCTGTGATAGCCGCTAGTCGCTTGACCAAAGCGGAGTAGCCTGCCGTATCCATGCGGACCAATCACGGGCTGCGACTGTAAACGAGTCAAATGAGTAAGCTACCGCATAGCCGCTTGAGCGAAAGGAAGTTAGAAGCAAATGGGACCAATCAGCTGTACGCATCAACAAGCCGGAGCGAGGAAACGCCGTTGACTCATTGGCGAATCGGTTTAGTCGGGACACTCACACGCAGATCAGACATACAAAGCGGAGCTGCCGTACGCAGCCTTGACTCAAGGCAAATAAACGGAGACGGAGCAGAAGCCGACAGACAAGTCGTGCGGATAACCAATGAACGCAACGTTACACGAGAGTCACAGCGACCATTATCTATAAACAACCATACCCCATGTGTGTACGGTATAAGCGATGCCCTGATTCTTCAATAACATACTCTGTTCTTTGCCCAGCTTTTCCTTTGACTCTCGGAGGACGATGCTCGACACTGCCTGCACTAGTGGAGCTGTACTCGTGCAAGGACATCCGCCTCTGTATTAGAGCTGTGGTTGTAAACGATAAATGGTTAGGGCCTGTTGGTGCCGTGATCTAGGTAGGCACCATATAAACTGCTTACGCACCATGAAAGGTTTGGTCAGGTTGTTGTCCACGTACCTTGGCCGCATCTTGTGCTGTTTCTTCTAACCCACATACTATTTACAGACCAGGAATTTCGAGCTTACACCAACGAATATTTTTACGTGTCTGTATTGCAAACTTTTGTCACCAGGTCATGTTGATTCTTTACTTTATCCTCCTGAATGAGTTTGACGCAGTAGTTTCTTTGTGTTATGTTGACATCCCAGTTGTCCTCGTTTGCAGAGGCTATGTCGTCACCCAAAGTCATACATTTCTGAGTCCTCCTCCCTAGGAGCGACTTCGTCTTTTTCGAAAGGTGGGTTTTTGTTTCTGATGTGTTTTCCACGAGCCATTTGAATCTGTGGACAAGTTCTTTGCAGGCAGCCTCAGGGGACCATCCGGCTAGAAAAGACCAGTTTGTGACACCAATGTGGTAGGACAGGCCACCATAGTTAGTTGCGACATGAAATTCCTCGGTAGTCTCTTTAAGCTACTCAGCGTAACACATTTATTGGAACACAAATGTCGTGTGATCTCTGCGGTCCAAAGGAGTGCACGTAGTTTATACGGCGATCACGAGTTCCTTGTTGATGAAAACGAGGTCCGAGATGGTTGAATTGTTTTCTGCTGAGGCACGTCGGAGAAGTGATATGGATGTTCAGCAGTGAGCCAGCGAATAGCGCGCAGTTCAGTCATTAATTGCTCACCGATAGTGACCAGCCTTTCTAAGCCGTGCAAATTGATGTTTTCCACCGGAAGTGCGTGGCTGTAAGATCGTGGCAATAGATTCCTCATAGCGGAGACTAGAGTCTTTTCGGACGACTGGTAAGTTACACTGTGCTTCCGTTCAGATATTCAGACAGCAAGGTTGGCGACAAACTCTACTGATTTTATTTTCCCTCAGCCAGTGGTAACATTGGTTTTGACAGCCTTCAAACGTATCTCTTATGGTAGTTTGGTGCGTAACTTGTGCTAACTGCCTTGCATCATTTCAACCATTTGTTTGGAGTAGCGCAGAACGTTTAGCACCCTTGGACCACATGCATTATATTTGGGTTATTTTGGTCACATTGACGTTGAGTTGGCAAGCACGTTGTGGAAAGAGAGAGGGCTTTGCGAATGTGTTGCTATCCTTCCAAGTCATGAGTTTGCGTTTGCGACATGTCGG